AGAAGCATCTTGACCGTCTGTTTGAGGAGGATGAAGAGGAGGGAGGAGGCTTGGAGGGGATGGGGATGATGATGACGGGCGACGATGAGTTTGACGCCCTCGACCAGGTGGACCGCGTCTGCGCCGGCGTCCTCAAGGGCCTCCTGGAGAAGGTGGAGAAGGGCGAGAAGATGGCCCGGCGGGCGGAGCTGCGCGAGGAGCGAAATCAGAAGCTGGTGGCCGCCAGCCGGCTCAAGTACCGCCAGGCGCACATTGAGGTGATGCGGCGCAGCATCGAGCGGCGGAAGGCCCAGCTTAACATTAGCATTCGCCTGCACGTCGAGGAGCAGCTCAATGGGCAGTTTGCTAAAGCAGAAGAAGCAGCAGCAGCTGCACCAAAATCGAAGTCTGCCAAAAAGCGAAAGCTAGCAGATGATGCCGACACACCTCCAACTTCCAAGCAGGTCAGCCCATCGAAGCAGGCCAACCGAGGTGGTAAAGCGGCAAAGCGGCCCAAGGTGACTGTGATCAGCCAGTCACCGCCTTCTTCATTCTCCGCCGCCACCAATGGCATTTCTCACAATGATCATGATGATAATACTGCTGACGCAGCAGCCACTGTCAATGGACAGGCACCAAAGCTGCTCGGGCAGGCTCGGAGTAAGACGACACATTCCAAGCTGCTCAATGGCTCCACTACTTCTTCCACTACTTCCTCCAACTCCATCACCACCACCACCGCCGCCGCCTCCGCTGCTAAATTGTCCCAAAAGTTCACCTCCATTCGGCAGATGAAGAAGGCGATGAAGGGACAGTCGCGAGTTGACATTTGCGAAATCGTCGCTGACTCGTCTTCTCAGTCGTCTTCGGAGACGGCCGCGGCAGCTGCGACGGCCGCGTCCACGTACTGCGTCTGCCAGCAGGCGTACGACGCGGCGCAGTTCTACATCTGCTGCGACCGCTGCCAGGGCTGGTTCCACGGCCGCTGCGTGGGCGTCACCGCCACCGAGGCGAACGCCACTGTCGACTACAGCTGTCCGAAGTGCGAGGGCGACAGCAAGGTCAGCCTGCGCAACATTAAGCCGCTCTCCGAGGAGGACTTTGCCTCGCTGAAGACTACCTTCAAGGCCGTTCAGGTACGTTTGTCACCGTTTGTCTATTTTGTAGTGGTACTTTATCTAGCCTTTCTGGTATCTTTCAGTCGCACAAGCACGCCTGGCCCTTCCTGCAGGCGGTCAATGAGGACGCCGTCCCCGACTACTTTACCATCATCAAAGAGCCCATCGGTAAGTGGTGGTGTTGCAGTCGGAAGCTGTTTGCACTGTAACAAGTGTGATCTAATCGGTTCCTTCTTCTTTCATCATCCTTTCAGACCTGAGCCTGATTGAGCGCCGTCTTGAGGGGCGAGCCTACCGCTCCCTGGCCGAGTTCATCTACGACATGAAGAAGATGCTGGACAACTGCCGCCTGTACAATGCACGCACCTCCTCCTACTACCACTGTGCAGAGGCGCTGGGCAACTTCTTCAACCGGCAGCTGACGGCATTCAGAAGAAAGCCACTGTAAGCAAACTAACGTAAGCTCTACTGAACCCTAGCACCACCACTCAACTGGCACCGTAATCTGCTGATGAATTCTGAGCACCCTCGCCCAATTATTCCCTATTTCATTTTCCACACTGATTCCCCCCCTTTTTACCCTTTTCTACCACACACACACACACTGGCGGTCCTCCCCACCTGAAGCTGACCTACTTCTATTTCGATTATTTTATCCACTTATAGGACTTTAATATTATAAAATTACCATTGCCCCTAATTAGTTNGCAAACTAACGTAAGCTCTACTGAACCCTAGCACCACCACTCAACTGGCACCGTAATCTGCTGATGAATTCTGAGCACCCTCGCCCAATTATTCCCTATTTCATTTTCCACACTGATTCCCCCCCTTTTTACCCTTTTCTACCACACACACACACACTGGCGGTCCTCCCCACCTGAAGCTGACCTACTTCTATTTCGATTATTTTATCCACTTATAGGACTTTAATATTATAAAATTACCATTGCCCCTAATTAGTTCCTTACTTCAATTTACCGAATAAATGAGTTCTATATCGGCGGCCTATCTGGGCCGTTACTAAAGAGATAAAAAAACTTTAGGTTTATTATTATTGTTACTGTTCTTGATCAGAGGAGAGGTCAATCTCCTCAATCGGTTGCTGGTGGTGGTCATCATCATCATCGTCGTCGTCATCGTCCAGTTCATCTCCGCCCTTCTTTCCACTCCTCTCCTCGGCCTCCTTCAGCCGCTTGACCAGCTCCTTGGCAATGTTGAAGACGCCATTGGTTTGGACGCCGCAGACGAAGCACCGCGTCGACTTTTTGTAGTGCTCCAGGGCGCAGCGCTCGCAGAAGTAGTGCCGGCACTTGGTCACCACCGGGCTGCGGAAGCTCTCCCGACAGAACAGACACCGAAAGGGCAGGTCCTCGTCGTCCTCGTCGTCGATTTCGTACTTGTCCTCCGCCTCATTGTCCTCGTCGTCGTCGTCCTCATCCTCATCTTCATTGTCACCTCTGCCTCGGCCGCGACGTTTCTTCTTCTGGCCGCCTCTGCCCGGCTTCTGCTCCATCATCTCCAGCTGCCAGCCGGCCTTGTAGTCGGAGCGGTCGTGGAGGAACTTGCAGCTGTCGCCGAAGCCGCAGAAGCCCGTCTCCTTGTAGTCCTTGCAGATGTCCGGCTGGTAGTCCCAGCGGACGGTAGAGCGAATGTTGTCTGGCGCCCGAATCGGCCCCTTGCGAATGAACCCCGAGGCGGCGTTCCCCTGCGCTGTGTCCTTCTTCTTAATGAGCTGGGCGTAGTTGTTCATCCCGCGGTACACATTGTCCGGCTGTTGGCCCTCCAGATCCTTTTGAATTTCCTGCGAGCGGATAAAGATGCTCTGCGCGTCGCGGTCCTTCTCCGTCTCCGTCTGCAGCGTCAGCGTGGCGCCGCCGTCTCGAGGGCCTTCCGGCTCGGCTGTCCTCTTCGACTCGTACTTGATGGTGATGTCGTCTTCTGTCCTCGATGATTTTGCTTTCTCCTCCTCATCTTCTTCCTCTTCGGAGCTGCTCTGGGCGGCCATTCGAGCGGCCTTTCTGCTGCCGCCGGGTCGACCCTTTCTAAATGAGGACGTCGACTGGACCATGGGGTTGTGCGCCTTCCGTCGGCTGGAGCCGACCACTACGCTGCTCTCCTCGTCGTCGTCGTCATCGTCGCTGCTGGAGGACTGAACCTTGGTTCGAATGCTAAGAAAAAGAAAGAAAATAAAAGCAGTGTCAACGGAAGGGAGAAAGAGAAATGCAAAAAAGATGCAANGTCGACTGGACCATGGGGTTGTGCGCCTTCCGTCGGCTGGAGCCGACCACTACGCTGCTCTCCTCGTCGTCGTCGTCATCGTCGCTGCTGGAGGACTGAACCTTGGTTCGAATGCTAAGAAAAAGAAAGAAAATAAAGCAGTGTCAACTGAAGGGAGAAAGAGAAATGCAAAAATGCATTAATACCTCCTCTTGACGGATCGTTTCGTGAAGAGTGATGAAGATGAAGAGGCTCCGGTCTCCGGTTGGTCGGCCGAGTCCATCAATGATAAGTTTCCTGGAGATACCTCTTTGGAGTTCTGGCAGGACTAAAAGCTATAAGAAAACTTCAAACAACATGCATGAGGCAATCACACGCACACACACAAACAGAAAAGCCGTTGTTTACGAATAGGCCGCCAGGTGAAATTTTGGCGCAAAGCGTCTGCTTTTCAGTTCAAAACAAACCTCGACTACAACCGCCGACTTTTGCAGAGATTGATTGACCCAGGATTGATTGACGGACCGAGCTTCAAGCAATTAAGAGTCTCAGATGAGGATTCCTTTTTCCCTACGACACTTCTGAGAATCACTTTGCGTCAAGGGGAAGCAGCAGCTCTAAAAAACAGCTCTGAATAAAAGCTCTGAAGNAGGCCGCCAGGTGAAATTTTGGCGCAAAGCGTCTGCTTTTCAGTTCAAAACAAACCTCGACTACAACCGCCGACTTTTGCAGAGATTGATTGACCCAGGATTGATTGACGGACCGAGCTTCAAGCAATTAAGAGTCTCAGATGAGGATTCCTTTTTCCCTACGACACTTCTGAGAATCACTTTGCGTCAAGGGGAAGCAGCAGCTCTAAAAAACAGCTCTGAATAAAAGCTCTGAGCGCAATGACGCCTGACTCCAACTTTGAACTTTGAAGTGAGCGCCCGTGCTTATCAGCTAGTGCCCAGTCGACCATCATGGCCGTGACTGCTCCCTCCCTCCGGCGAGAGGGAGCTCCATACAAGTCTCGGAGGAGCACCATACTGTCTTCAACACCAGTTATCGTTGCAGATGGTGACCGTCATCTTCCATCCTCTTCTCTCCTCTCAACACTCTTTCACCAGAGCAACCGCCATCATCGTCATCTTCTGGCAAACCCGTTGTCGACCACCACCACGATGAGGCCACGCATTCGAACTAGCAGTCCAGTGCTGAGTCGCAATTCGTTCTGCGGCTTCAGTCAACGTCTTCCTCCATCTCCGGACAGTTCGCCGGTGAGGCGTGCTTCAGTAGTAGCAGCAGCAGCAGCAGAAGAAACAACAACAACATTGTCTTTATCTTTAGCCCCACCGGAGCTGCCCCAAGACTTTCCTGAAGACAATGAGCTGCTGTTGGCGATGGCGGGCCACCTCGACGAGGCCTACTACCTCGTACCGGGCGACCACAGCTCCATTCAGTGGGGAGAACTTCTGAACACCTTTAATGTGGGCGATGGTCGCTGGTGGCCAAATGTGAGTGAGCTGCTGGAGCTCGCGGCGATGTACCTTCGCCTAAAAGTGGACTACCTGGATAGGTTTTCTCTTGGTAAGTGTAAGGGGTTTGTTTTGAGGTGTTTTTATTCTACTTCACTTTTCTCTGTGTTTGTAGAAACTGACCCCATCAAGTTCAACCTCTACCGCCTAGTCAACCGGGCGCTGAATGCCACCTACCGCCGCGATCTGGTCAAGTACGAGCGGCACTGCCTACGGGTGCACTCACCCTTTGTCCTCAACTTGTTGCTCACCCACCGGCCGCTCTTTGTCGCCACGCTGGCCCTCCTCGACGGTCTCACTGAGGACAATGTATGTATTGTACACTCCACTTGATCACCTATCCTCTTACTGATTGAACACGCTTTCCTTTCTTCTGCAGAGCGTCTTTACCTTCATGAAGCTGCAGGCACTTTACCGAGACCAGTTCGAGCTAGAGTAAGCCTTGCGTTCTTTTTTGTTTGTTTACAACACACTCTCTAACACTCCCTCCTTCGCACAGCATCGGCAAGGACCTGACCGATCCCTTCTTTGAGCACATCTGGAGCTGGATGTTCACCGGCACAGTGGATGCCTCCGCCTCCTCCTCTTCCTCCTCGTCCTTCTTCTTCATCGACCCACACATCGGCTCACCCTCACCCACACCGCCCCACCTCAACATGGCCAAGTTCCCCGTCGGCGTGCTCGAGCCTCGTCACGGGCAGACGATCTACAGCATCGGCAAGCTGGTCGGCGAGCTGAAGGCAAATGGAAGGCTGAATCGGACATCGGCGGCGAATCAGCAGCCCGACTGCAGCACACTGCGAACCGAGCTCTGGAGGCGCCACTACGCCAATCGCCAGGAGCTGTACGCCAGTTCGGGCTGCTTCAGGCGCTTTCTCGCCGAGGTGAAGGCCTTTGTGCTGGAGGTTTGTTGCCTTTCATTGCCTGCTTACCGCTTTTCTTTCTTTTATTAAATTTTTTTCTTCCTTTGGCATTCACTAGAATGTGCTTCAGGTGGAAACTGCAGTACAGGAGTTTTTGGAGTTTCTGGCACTGCTGCAGGCCTTCTACCTGCTGGAGGACGAGCACTTTTGGACGAGCTACTCTCTACTCACTCGGAAAGAGGGTGCTCATGGTAAGTTGAAGGGCACAGAATCTCTGACTTGATTTTTTAACTCACTCTCTATAGAGCCGAAGTACTTTAAACAGGCACTGCGCGACGTTTATGGAGAAGTAGTGGCAAATGCAGGGCCGGACGGCCACTCTCTAGACCTGCTCAAGGTGACCCGTGTGACTGCGGCCACTGTGATTGACGTTCGACCACCGGAGAAGAAGTGCTCCTCTTCATCATCATTATCATCATCACCCCCACTGCGGCTCTCCATTGAGCCCGGCCCGCTGGTGAACATCTTTGAGCCGGAGAGGACGCTTCACTTGTGAGTAGCAAGCGGCCAAAGTAGTGATCTTTTAGTGTTCTAAAACCTCTTATTTATTTATTTTTTCAGCTACCAGACCATCTTTGGGCACCTCTACCCGTTGCACGCCACTCGAACGGCGCTGACCGCCGCTTGGAAGGAGAAGAAGGCGATGGAGGAGGTGGAGAGGAAGAGGCGGATGATGGCAAAGAAGATGGAGTGGTTGAATGAGCTCACCGAGGAAGAAGCAGCAGCAGCAGCAGCTAGTCCTTCGGGGGCAAAGAAGAACTACCTCCTCCTCTACCGCCTCCTGAACACCGTCACCACGCTGCTCACCTTCAGTCGCTCGGTGGTTCGCCTGAAGGTGGGCCGCTTTGAGAAGGAGGTGGCCGACCTGCTCGGTGGCCGGCCCAGTCACCACCTGGTGGAAACCATTCAGCGGCGTCACCGCAAGTGCCTGCACTCCATTCTCGAGCTGCTCTTTCTCGGCAACAGATTGGTAGGTTGAGGTGTAGTAGTAATTTTCTGTTCTTTGTGAACTGATTTTCTTCTTTGTTCATAGTTTACCAGTCTTCAAAAGGAGCTTCTTCAGTTGTGCGACGAACTGCTGCAGCTGCAGCAATGGAGTGCAACAAATGGCGAGAAGAACAATAATAACGATGATAAACGGTTTGAGGTAAGTGATTTTTGTTGTTCTCAACTGTAACTTCCGGATTCTGAGCTACCAACTTTTGTTGCTATTTTGTGTTGTTGTTGTTGCTGGTGAAGCGCGCTGATGCCATCGAAGAGGCGTACCGAAAGTTCTTTACGGAGAATGTGAATCACATTGAGCACTTTGGCGAGCTGCTGCTGCCGCTCGTGCCAGAGCTGCTAAGCTGTGGCGATCCGCTGTTTAACCACAAGTTGAGATAATCAAATGGTGGCACCCATCATCATCATCATCTGCATCACCATCATTACGTAGTAGTGAGCCAGAACTATTGTTGTTTATTATTTCTCTGTTACATCATCTTTGCTACCTGTTTGAGACCTGTCTTTTACGCCTCTCCTCAAATCCTCTCTTTTATTATTATTAGTGGACCACTTGCAATTCGATTCAAGTCAAACCTATGTGTTAAACTGTGGGGAGAAAACAATGATTAAAGCACCAGCGGCTCATTCAGCTTCTCAACGCCTCCTGGAGCTGTTTGATGTAGGCGATTGCAAGGCGCAACGTTTCCACCTTTGATAGGCGGCGGCTTTCGGCGCTGGAAGTTGAAGTTGAAGTGGTCAAACTCGACTTTCGGCTGCCTTCTCGCTCTCGAGAGCTGGATCTTCCTCTTCCTCCTCCTCCTCCAGAACTACTACTACTACAACTCATTCCTGAAGGAGTAAAGAGAGGTGGCAGGTGGGCCCGAAGCCTCTCGAAGCCTTCGTTGACATTTCGAACCCGCGTTCGCTCGCGTTCATTTCGCCGACGGATGAAGGTGCCCGTGTCGAGGTGGTGCGCCAGAAGAAGGCCATTGCTGGCGCCACCGCCATTGTTGAAACCGAAGGTAAAGTCGGGCAGAGGAATGCGACAGTGAGGTGAGAAGGGAGAGTTGTTGACGCCCCGCCGAAGAGGGTTTTCGTAGGAGGAGGAGTTGGAAGAGGAGTCACCGCCATTGGTCATCTGGTCATCTTCGGTCTCATTCTCTCTGTCGTCTCCTTCTCTCGAAAAGTAGTGGCCTTTTTGCTGTTGCTGCTGCTGCTGCTGCTGATAATAGTGATGATGGTGATGAGCATGTGAAGGTGCTGGCTGCTGAAGGTGGCTCAGGTCGCCGAGGATGAGGTGCTGGTAGGGTGGGGAATGAGAAGGAGATTCAACGAAAGAATTCGATTCCAGCGTGGTGATGTCT